TAGTTACTACGCGCTGGGCTAATTCTATGTCTTCATAGAGTTTCTTATTATAGCGTCGCAGAGCATGCTTACAGGTTGATGTGCTGTTGTACCCCGACTAGTAGGCAGAAGAAGACAAAGAGCTGGTTTCTGACAACAAGGGCTTTGTTCAAGACTACCAAGAAACAGCGAATTTTTCAGCTTGGTCAGAGTTTTTTTCTGGAATATTCCTCGCCTATGGCCTCTGACGGGTGTTCTGGCCTGCACATTGACCGATATTTTCCCATGTTTTATGAGCGGTCATCACGTGTGCTTGAAGTAACAGTGCATGCTGCTTGTCTGCGCGCATGACTCAGGTGGCGTGCACTTCTTGCTGCCCCCCTCCTCGTAATATGTACCTTGACATCTAAATGCAATTCTCATTATCGCTCATTTCTTCCGTTTTTGGCCATTTTCTTAAGCCAGACTGCGGCGAACGCGTACGGTTGGGGAACGTTTGCCGATGTCTGGGCGGATTGCCGTGAAAAGTCAAAGACTACTCTGCCACTGGAAGTTGTATAGTCCCTTAGCTAATAGCTTGATGGCCCCTACTTTTGCGGCTTGACGTAATAAACTACCCGGAAGTTAAACACAAACTGAAACCGTAAAATAATACCAAACCGGCGACTTAAGGCGACTGGCGATGCACAAAACAATTTCCATGCACGCTTGCCATGACTGTGAGCATGACTGCGGATGAGGGAAGAGAGAGTGTTGAGGCTACAGCGCAAGTCACCGTCGCTGCACCACTCTCCTGTGGAGCACACGGTGGACATCTTCGGATATGACAGTCGAACCGTCATATTCTGTTATACGATAGTGCACTACCACATGAATGCTTTCAGAACGGAACTTTGCATGTGCTTGCTACCTAGTTTCGATCGCTCCTCTGATCCCTGAATCTTGTCATTCGATATTTTCCAACTAGCCAGGCCTTATTCTTGCCTGTACATAGAGGGCTAGCTCCTCCACTTAACATATACCAAGATGGTTTGAATCGGCTAGTGCCGAACATGGAAAGCCGTTTGTGGCAACATTACCTAACGCCTAACGCTTATTTCTTCGTAGTGCAATTAGTAAAGGGCACCTTGTCCAAATACGGTTTTCTGTCTCCCTATGAGCAACCGGATGAAACGATACTTTCTCTGTATGAACTATTGAATCTGGCGAATCAGCTGCTTTTCCTTTCTTTTCACCGTGAAGTGGGGTGTAATTTTTAGTATTGGCAGTACGCACGTTTCACGCGCTTGCTTAACAATGTTTCCTTTTGAACAACCATTCAGCTTTTCTGTAAACGTTATGCAATTCATGTGCTCTTCGGAATAATCTCATTTTACCAGGCTAAAAAACGGAGCAAGCTCGCAGAAATGTTAACAATATCTTTACTAATCAAACCGGATTGATCATTCCTGTCCCAGTGGTTTTTTCGATAGGTTTAGTTACCTACGGCGTCTAGGCCCGAATAGCGAGC